ATCTCTCATTAATGGCGTGGGCATGGATGGAAGCATGTTTCTCTCTAGTCAAAGATTTTAAGATGTTATGCCTTATCATGTATCCAATAGGGGTCTACTATTCAGAATTCGTAAAGAAGTCTTTCAACTCAACAATAAGACAAATAGGCCAATTTAAAAATGGGCAAAGGACAGGAAACTACAATTTCCTAAAATAGTCATGAAAAAAATGCTGCTTAAGGAAATGCAAATCAAACCACAAGTTATCACTGCATACCTACCAGCATAGCTATTAAAAAATGGACAATAAAAACAATGAAGATGCAGAGAAACTGGAGCCTCATGGTTTCCTGTTAGTACAGTTCCTGTGAAAAACAGTTTGACAGTTCTTCAAAAGTTAAATATAGATCAGCAATTCCATTTCTAGGCATATACCCAAGAGAACTGAAAGCATATCCATTAAAAAGTTTGTATACCAATGTTCAAAGCAGCATTATTTAAAATAGCAAGAAAGTGAAAAACCAAAATGTCTATCAATTGATGAAAGTATAAACATGTAACATAACCATACAATGAAATATCATTCAGCTATAAAAAGGAATGAAGTACCAATACCTGTTTCAATGTGGTTGAACCTTGATAGTAGTATGCTACATGAAATAAGACAGACACAAAAGGCCTCATATCATTTGTTCCCATTTATGTGAAATGTGTAGAATAGGCAAACCATAGAAAGAGAAATTAAATTAGAAAGGGTCTGAAGGGACCAGGGTTGGGGACGGATCAGGAATGACTGGATACAGGGATTTTGAGGGACAAGAGATGAAAATGTTCTGCAATTAAATAGTGGCTACAGTTGTATAACATTGTGAAAGAGCTAAAAATGAATACACTGTATACTCTAAAATGGTGAATTTTATAGTACGCAGGTTATATCTCAATAAAAAATGATGTACAGAACTCCACCATTTTCTCCTGATGTCTTAAATTTCAAGGCCTCTTTCACATCAGAAATATTTAAATCTGCATTTAGGCCTGGCCTCCAGCTCTTACACTAGCTGGCTGTTGTCCCTGGAGAAATTCCCCAGTGAGGCCTGATCCACAGCATGGGTAAACCTTGGGGACATTATCTAAGTGAGATAGACCAGTCACAAAAAGACAAACACTGTCTGATTTTGCTTATTTCAGGTACCTGACCAGTCAAACTCATGAAGGGAGAAAGTAGAATGGTGGTTGTCAGGGGATGGGGAGGAAGAATGAGATTATTGTTTAAGATATGTGCAGTTTTAGTTGGGTAAGATGAAGAGTTCTGCAATTGGTTGCATAACAATGTGAATGTACTTAACACTACTGAACTGAACACTTAAGGTAGTGAATTTTATGGGGGTTTTTAAGCCATAATTTAAAGGACTTTTGCCATCATGTGCACACATGTGTGCACATACAACACATGCACACGTATGTCCACACACGCAAAGTTTCCATTGTCCCCCTTTGAGTGCATTAATCCCCAGTGTAAGTTTCAGGATGATTCTAAGTGAAACAAAAACCAACCAACAAAATCAATCTCAGCCAGACCCATGTGAAGGGCTGGACTTGCTCTGCTTTAGAAGACAAAAGTACTGGGGTAAAACTTCTCAACTTCGGCACAGGTTATTTTGTTTTGAAACTCCTGACCTCCAGGACCAGCCAGAAGCAGTGGTTTTCTTGCATGTAATGGATTGTCTCTTGGCCTGTCTTCTGCCTTAATCAAAGTTCCACTCAATAGTAACAAATGGCTCGAGTGTTCTGCTGAGGCCCTCCTTGACAGCCTATAATTAGAAATACTTTACTTGACCTTTTATAAGCCATGCTCCCCAACAAAATTGTGCCGAATCACATTTAGGAAATGCTCTTATATCTTTTGTGAATATGAGCAAGATTACAGGATACGTTTATTTTCGAATAATTACACGGTGACCTTCAGAGTTATTTGAAAAGGTCATTATTCTCTTCACATACCCTTGATTTCCTTTCAGTTTTTCCTTTTGTCCCACCAGACATAAATTTAGTGGAGGAAGAAGAAAGAGAGAGAGCATTTTTTTCTTGTGGATGAAAACTGAAGAAGATAGTTCAAAGTCCCCATAGGCGCCCACAGGGCTGTGGGCTATGATAGGCTATTTTCTCCCATTTAGCTTCTGCATTATCACTACTCCTTTTTCTTCATTATTCTCCACTTATCGCGCTCAGCATCACTGCAGAGGCCAAATAGAGAGTTGTAATTACCCAGCTGCCACCTGATAGTAGCCTTCTATCATCTTTATCTCACTAGGCTTTGCTGTTTCATCATTGGATAAAACTTGCCCAAGGCAATGCCTGTGATAGTGCATCTCAGAGATACATTTAAAGTTTACTCATTTATCGCAGAAAAATGCTGAATCGAGGCAATTATTAGATACACTTGCCAGTTTAGTTTTTCACTAAGATTACTTTAACTCCCTTGTATCAGCCGCTTTTTCCTTTTCTTCTTGGAAACACTAGGGTCACAACTGACTACTGAAATAAAATTTTAATGAAATCTCCCAGAATCAGGAGTATGCGTGTGTGTACGTGCACGTGTGTGCAGTGTGCACCCACAGGCTGGCCGTTCAATTTGGGCATTCCTCTGGGCAGACACATCTGCAAAGGGGAGCTTGATCCTTCAACAGGGCCTTTTGGCATTGAAAAGTTACTGCGCACTGAGACTTTAGAAATCATCACATTTCGTTCTGAGCATTGTAAAAATCAGAATATAGGAAGTGTGACATGTAAAAGATCATAAAATCTAATGAGCACTTCTTTAATAGATTTCATGAGTTTTTCCTTTATTATTTCCTTAATGTTATTCAACATGAGGGAATATAGTCCAAAAATATGTTTCACGAATAAGCAGTATGTGTGTGCATGTGTTTGTATGTGCCACACACAGTCTTATTCTATTTAGTGTATTTAGAAAGATGTGCTTATACACCCATTCTTATTTTTATGGTATAGTTTATTTAACTGATGGACATTGTCTTCATTTAACTCTGATGGAAATTCAAAAGGGTATTTTTTTTCACCCTGGCAAAAGGCCTATTAGGAAAAAGAGATTTTATGGCTAATTTTTTGGTAACATTTACTTACTCTGGAAATAGTACTAATGAAACTAGTGAAGCTAGTTCACACTAAAGGACTTTAATGTAGAAATAAGGGATGAAATGAGCAAAAATAATTTACATTCATTTCAACAATGCCAATTGCATTCAAGTAGGCTTTTAAAAAATGAAAATTCATTTTAGTAACAGCTTAAAAATCCCCATTTGCCTTGTCAGACAACGTTAAAGCCAATCTTGCCCTCTATAAAAAAATCAGATTTCGTGTGTGTTTGGATATCAGTGTGAGAGAAAAATGTGCCCTGTAAAATGCTAAGGAAAAGTAAATGTTTCCCAAGGGTAGGATTTTAAAGTTTTACAGAAGTGGCTTTAAAAATTACTTTCTTTTTCTTGGTACCAGGGATCGAACTTGGGTCCTTGCACTTGCGCAGCGGGTGGCAAAACCACTGAGCTAAATCCCCAGCCCTAAAAATTACTTTCTTCATGCATATTTAATCTGGCTTGATTAATTTTCTTTATGAGGTGATCTGTGTAAAACAACAAATAGAATTCCTTGTAATAACCACTCCCTGTCGGGTCACTGCAGATACACTCAAGCATGAATGTGTGTGCGCACACACACACACCAAGAGCAATGTAGCTGCTTCACACAACTCCCCACTTTGTTGAAGTGCTTTGGGTGCCAAAATTGGTTTCTCTTCAGCATCAAGATAAACCTGTTCCTCGCAGAGTAATTCCTTAAGGAATGAGCACAAAAGAAGTTGTGCAGCAGTACCATGAGAAAAAAAACCTACTACAGATACATGATGTTTTACTATTTATTTTAAAAGATGTTACTGTGTTTTAGTGGACATGATAGTTGCCTACAAAGAAATTTAGAGACCATGAGAGTGGATGCTTTGTGAAAGGGAAAAGCCACATATTTTGAAAAAGGAATAAACGAAAGTAATTGAGTGTGACACTCATGTCGGGTAAATTTCACTGCATCTGATTTTCCCGGTACTTTAACCTTTTTAGTTTGAGTAACTCACACTATACTGTTTGCAAGTGTCTTTCCCTGATGGAAGAAAAAAGTCTTGAGATTATATGTTCTAAGTCCAATACCAGCTTCATCGATGGGAAGAGCACGTATTTATTTCCTAAGACTTAAAATATATTCCCTACAAAGAGCAGAAATGGCAAATGAAAGCAGTCCATAGGGCATTCGAAACATAACCACTGGTTGGAAATTTTATTTTTATCATCTATAAAATGAAATTAGAAAATGATACAGGTCCACAGGGAGGCCCCTCCCCTTCTCTGGGTGGTCCTGCCTTGGTTAGAAGGGAAGACACACTCAGCCCCGCTGCTGACTTTCTGTGGGAGCCACGGCAAGTGTCCCAGCTGCTGTGCTGGGGGATACTCAGCAGGAGGAGACCCAGCCAGAAAGGGGCAGAGTGGCCACAGCCTTGCTGTGGTGTTGGCTGAGTAAGGTCCAAGTCATGCAGCATTCATGCAGTGATGCAACGCTTTGAGGAAATTACCTAACCCCTCTAAGCCTCACTTTTCTTGACTGTACAATAGGTAGAATAATGCTGTTGACATTACTGAGATGTGAGGAGGTTGTGTATATGCACCAGAGCATCCAGCACACAGACCAATTAGTAGCTATTGCCATCTGGTCCCAAGATGCCGGGATGAAGGGAGAGTAACCCATGGGCCCATGAAGGCACCGGGCAGAGTGCTGCTCTGCATATCATCATGTTATGGTCTCCACAGGTGAGGTAGGGCTTCCTGTGGTGCTGTGTAGCTGTGTATTTTACTGATAGCCTGAGCTACCCTGTTCAAGCTGAATCCCAGACAGCAGCTCATTCTGTGAAGTGATTAAGTGACAGTGTTGTGTCTCTAACAGGTGAGAACACTTTGATACCTCATTTTTCCTGCAAAGAGCCAGGAACACAAGATGTTCGAATTATGAGCCCATATTGCACTTCCGATTTAATATTCAGCCAGAAAAGATTACATTGAGACTGAAAGATTAAGAAAAAAAAATCTAAGACTTCCTCCAGAAAATCGGCTTTTGGTGAGTAAACAGAGTCCTACCTAGAAGGATGTGCTTTCTTTTCTTTATACTTTTACGACCTACTGTGGCTATCAGAGGCAGGACAACAAAAGGCATGCCTCATGTATTAGTCACCTGGCATACATAACTTAAAGGAGAAAAGGTTTATTTTGGCTCATGGTTTGTAGTTTTCAGTCCATGATCTGCTGGCTCCAAGGCAGAAATATCATGGCAGAAGGAAAACTACTCAACTCTAGCTGCAGCAGAAAAGGCCTGAAAATAGATACATCCTTCAAAGGCATTTTCCCAGTGATATGCAGTACTTCCTCCAAACATAGGCTAACTCCTAACAGTCCATTCAGCCAATAAACTTCAATGGATCAATTCACTGATAATGTTAGCACCTTCCTGATCTAATCACCTTCCAAAAATCCCATCAATGAATACATGAGCCTTTAGGGGGATATTTTAGATCTAAGCCATAATACCCCTGAATAAACTTTGCTATGGCCACTGCCCAAAGAGGAGGATGAGAAATGTCTCAAATATTGGAAACTTCCTCCACAAGCAGCATTACTTTGGGAGGAGCCAGGTTGACACATTACCCAGCCAGATAATTATGAACTCAGTACTCTGTTGAAACTATGGATCACAAACCAAATATCTTGCAGATTTAATATAGTTCTAGAGTAACATTAAATATCTGACTCCTTTTCTTTGTTCAGTGTCATTGGAGAAAGGTATGTAGGGGTTCTTAATTTGGGGTCTACATGATTTTCAGAGGATTTGCTGATCTTCCAAAAATTTCTGGAAGTTTTGAGTTTCTCTCACTTTTCTGAGCCACAGTCCATAATTTGGATCAGATTTTCAAAGAGGTTTGTGTCCCAATGAAAGGTGAAGAATCACTCTCAAATTTTCCAGGGAAGAAAAGAACAGAAAGTCTGAAAGGATAAAGATAGAACAGTGTATATAAAAGGAGGAAAAAGCGGGGCCGAGATTTTCAGAGAGTGGAAAAGCACACGCAGTTTTACTCCTGCTTTTGCGTTGCCTGCTAATATCTTGGGCTGGCCTTTGCCAAGCCCTTGGCTCTGGCTCAGGGAGGCCAAAAACTTGTGTGTTCAAACTGCTCGGGAGCAGCATGAAAAGGTTTTGTGTAAACCCCACCCACTTCAGAAACAAGAGCCAGGTCATTAGTTTGAATTGGCTCAGATTTTTCTTTCTGTTTCAAAGAGCAGTGATTTGCGTTCCATGCACCAGGTCACAAAATGGCATGGCATGTCGAGCACATTTTAGCGTAAACTTTATTGAGCCCGCATGTATGATCTCTCCTCACTTCTTTAACCACTTTGAATAAAAGTATAGGTGTCATTATGGCAGCTCCTAAAAGCAAGTCTATTGATCTATTAAAAGAAGCACTTTTAATTAGGCAATAATATGTGGTTGAAACAGGATGCCAAGTAGTAAATGCCTATGAATAACTGCCAGGTGAGAGCACTACAGAAACATATTGGAGTTCTTTGCCAGATTTGAGTGCTGTTCTTCTGAGAAAACTTTTCTCCCTTATTGGGAAGCAAATATATTTGTAATTTTTATTTTGTTACATTTTGCAATCATCAGGCCACCTTTCAAAATGAACGATCCTATTTGTTTGACTTGTCCTGGGACATCACCTTGCAGATAGGGTCCACCCTTAAATTTGAGGTCTGTTCTCTCCACAACCCTTCCTGAACACAGAAAAAACTAATAAAAGAATAATTCCAACGATCTCAACTCACGTTGTTACCTGTTTTGAAATTCGTAAGTCTTGTGCAGTTGGAAAAGCAGATCTGCAAAGTATTGGATCAACCTGGAGCAGAGACTTAGCATCATCAAGTTCTTTCCTTCTCCTGACCCCTTTAGCTACCTGAGAGTCCCTGTCTGTAAAGCTGGTTTCATTGTATGATGTCAAACTATTTCTCACTCTTAACTCCAAGCCCTGTCTTATTTTGTACAACCCCCTCCCCTGATAGGGTCTTTTATCTCTTCCCTCTGTTCATGTTCTAGCCACCCTAAGCCTCAGCTTGAAGCCTGGCTCCATCCAAGGCTTCCCCTGAAAGGTTCAGTCTTGCCTGTTTGTCTTCTCTTCCCGAGCTTCTTTGCATCACACCTCTGTCTCAGTGGAACACATTTTTGTGTTGGGGTTTCACAGATGTGCCTTTTGTATTTTGAACCAGATTGAAAACTCCCTGCAGGACCATGTCTTGAAAAATTTCTACCATACTTCTGAACATATAGTAGATGATAACTAAATAATAATATAAGATGAATAGCTGCCCCTTTTCTTGATGTGATTATCTAACATTGTCAATTGGGTAAAAATGGTTAAAGCAAATTTCACCTTGAGATTGCAAATTTTCCCCTATATTTAGTTTTCTGTCATAGTTAAAAAAAAAAAGTAGACAAAGAAGAAAAGGAAGGACCTAAGCCTATATTAAAGTTTAGAGATTTAGAAAATAAATATGCCTAGTGAGTTAAAGTGTAAATTATTTATTGTGCTTGAGACTGATCAGTAGGTCTTAGGCACAATATTGTGATTTACTAAACTGGACCCTAAAGATGAAGTAGCTGGTTCAATACAGTAATACCTAATTTTATCATTTTTGCCTGGGTCTCAGAAGGAAAAAAGCAGGTACTACATTTTCCTTTGGCCAGATGTAGCAGCTAAGGGTTGATGATTCTAGGTAGGAACAAGGACTGCATGAATCCCGAATGTCAGCTTTAGCTGGTGTGGGAGATGATATGCTAAGATTGTGGGAGAATTACTTTAGGCTTGCACTGCAAGCTGCTATCATCAATGTCATTATCAACATCATCACAGCTCATGTGACTGCATCTGAGTTTGACCAGAAAATCCTACTTTCATTTTCATGTGCTTTACAGCATACTTGTACTCTCAAAGCTGGCCCAGTGTGATGGTAAATAACATAGTCATTCTAATTATAAATAGCATTTATTGAGCCATACCAAAAGTTTTGTATATTGTTTGTTTGGTTTCACAACAACTTTATGAAGTAAGAATTTCTTTTAGCCCCATTTTACAGATGACAAAATTGAAGCAAAATTTAAGAAATTTGCTCATGGTTACCCAGCTTGTGTCTAGGCAGTCTGGTTCTAGAAGATCTTAGACCTGTGATTACTGACTACGTGGGAAATATGGGGATCTCCCTCACAGGCTCCCCTTATATCAGGCCTATCATGAGATGTTTCCATTCCAGTGGAAATGTCTGGATCCTGGACAGTTTTTCACTCTAGATCCAGGTGCAGTGAATTACAGTCATTTTAATCTTTGCTGTCCACTTAACTAATAAATGTGTGCCTGGTGTGGTGGTACATACGTGTAGTACCAGGATTTGGGTAGCGAGGCAGGAGGATCATCATGAGTTCAAGGCCAGCCTGGGCTAAATAGTGAGTTCAAGATCAGCCTGAACTACATAGCAAGACCCTGTCTTCAAAAACAAAACACACACACGCACACAGATACACACACACAAATACTAATAAATGAGCTTTTCTTCTTAGAAGTTTGTCTACAGAGTGTTTAATTTAGTTAACTATAGGAGTAGAATTTTAAAAAAGAACATAAAAGGCTACAAATTATCCAAGTCAATCCACAGGAATCGCTCTGCCACACTGTTCATTGCTAGAAAGCAATCTTGTCACTTATGTAGCTCAACATTTTCATGCAACTTGCCTTTATTTGTCAGGCCCATCTCATTTTATATTATTATCATCCTTATTTTACAAAGAATTTAACTGACTTACCCATGATCACCTGGTTGATATGCCCCATTGCTAGGATTTTAAACAAAGTATCTGACTCCAAGGAAACTTTTTTGGGGAAACTTCCTCCCAAATAATTTTTGATTAACCAATATCTGGGCAGTTTATATGCATAAACATTTTTCCTGATGCTCAACATAAAATTAGGTACTGCTACCTTTATTCATTTATTGAGCAAGTATTAGTTGAGAACTTTCTAAATGTCAGGTCCCAGCCTTGGTCCCTTCTGTCACAAAATGTATAGGCTTCAGAAGAGAGAGGGGGAGAAGAGAGAAGGACATGGCCATGATAATGTAATCTAATGTAATAAGTGCTGTAAGTGAAGGATTAAGTAAGAATCAAATGGTGGACATGATTAATGTTTCTTGGGAGAAAATGGAAAGAAGCAACAGAGGGAGCATTGGAGATGAGCCAAAATACAGATCAAAACTAGACTGTGACAAAAGTTCAGCCACATAAAATTTTTGGATTGTTTTCACAACCCACACAAGGCAATTAAACAGAAGAATGAAATAGTTGTAATTGAAAAATGTCTGGAGGCCCAGAAGATGAACTGGACATAGAAGATACACAGGTAGAGAGAGATGAAGAGGTTGGTGGTGTGCTCCAGCACAGACGTTATCAGTCCCTGAACTGGTATATTGGTACTAAAATTGGAGCATAGGAGAGGGAGTCAAAACCCATTTCAGAATTTACAGGTTTGTCTTTAGGGCTGGATTTGACATTAAGTATAAAAGACCTTGGTTAATTTTAAGGATTTTTGCTTCTGTAATTTACTGGGTGGTGGTGCCAGTTAGTAGCATAATGAAGAAAATGCATTGGAAAATGGATCAGGTGTGAGTAGGAGAGGTAATTGCTGACGAAATAGATTGAAAATCATTTCCAAAGTGCATGGCACTCAAAGGTGTAAAAATGGGCAAAATCCTCCACTCTGGCTTTGAGATAGATATTCCACCATGGCAGACCAATTGATTAAAGTGCTCATTGTTTGGGCAGTTCGTATGAGCCTGTCATATTAATCCTGATTCCTTAGGGGACTAACTTCCTATAGGCTTGTTTTGCAGCTTTATTTCATGGATAACAGACAGTTCTTACAGATTATGTATGCAGCCCAAGTGGCCCCAGTCAGGTGGCCCAGTTCCAATACTGAATCCTTGCAAAATGAGATTTCAGATTTTTACAAAATTAGGGAAATCCAAGGG